TAGGTCTTGTAAACAATGTGGTGCAACTAAGCTTTCCTAAAATGAACGCCAAGACACCTTTGCATCTGGATTAAACCAAGTTGACAAGGGACAAAGAACAAAAGAGTAATAATAAAATTTAAAATTGGGAAGTGCCAGACCACCATCCGATTTCCTTCGCTGAAGGGTTACAATTTTTATGCGGGGCCTTTTCCCCTTCCATAGATAGTTAGACAAAACAGAGTTTAGTTTATCCCAGTATCCTGCCTATGCTGTTCTTCTAGTTCCTGTGATGTGCATCTATCTTACTAAGATGGCATTCCAAGTCGTACTGGATATGATCTTCCATGAAACAAACACATGATGAATAATCTTAACGCAGCGAGCTGCAGCAGTAGAATCCCCAGCCCACCCACCTTGAGCTCAGCCACTCGTCGCTCCGCCCGCTTCACCTCTGCCCGTAACTGGCGCTCAATGCTGGAGGCGGAACCGCTGAGCGTGGCAATAGTGATGTCGCGCTGGTGCAGCTCGTTCGTCAGCTGGGAAACTTCCTTCCTCATGCCGTCCGTTTCCCCGCGGCGCGTCTGTTCCATCCGCTGCAGCTCATCCTTCAGCTGCGACACAAATCACTGCGCCTGTCAGCATGACCGCAGCGCCAGGCGGCACAAGCACAGCACGACCATCCCAACCCCCGTGGCAGTCAGCACAGCTAATCCGGTCAAAACAGGGGTGCTGCAGAGATGATTTAAACCCCCCTTGTGCGTCTATTTTCAATATCACATTCATTAACAATGATCATGTTAAACCAAACAGTTCCCACTTTGAAGAGGTAAGCTGTTCCTTAAAGAAAGTCCCATACCTTCTTCACTTCCTGTAACGAGCGACTGTGTTCCTCCTCCAGGTCCTTCAGCTCCTGCGGTTTCTTGACTAAACTTTCATTCGATCCTTGCAGGCTCTCAAGGCTGAAACATAAAAATTCCAGACTCGCTTTTCAAACACCTACCTTGCCGAAGTTGAAAAGGGTGACATTCCATCTTTTCTTTCAGGAATCTTATTACCAACAGACTCGAATAGGAGGAAGTGTTCAGGTCTACCCTGGTTTTCTCATAAGGACAGATTTAAAATCATGCTGGCATTACGATGTTCGCATGCCTCTTCTACCCTGACAGACGGCTGTAATGTTAAATGAGCACCTGTTGCGCAGTCGGGCCACCTCGGCTTTCAGATGTCCCTCGCAGGCACGTGAGCTGTGCAGCTGGGTGACAGTCTTCTCCAGTTCCTGCCTCAGAGGGGCAAGTCCTGCAGACACACCCTTATTCCTCAAACACTCCTCTAGGGACCTGAACACACACAGCACATTCATTCAGCACAGAGCAGAATCACAAGCTAATCACTGTACTGTTCCATATACCTTGACAACAATCCAACTTGAAAAGGCAAGGTCAAGTCTTGCACTTTAACATATTTGTATTTTCAACCCTGGATCACTGGTAAACAAGACAATATGAGCTTCTAGCGGCCAATGTACTGTTACACAGGAGTGTAATTCATATCAAAATATATCCCTACTTGATGACATGCTCTTTAGCCTGCAGGGCCTGTGTCATCCTGGCCAGTTCACTGCGCAGCTGATGTAACTGGAGTCCTGAGTCACGCACAAACTCGTCCTGGGTGTTGAGTGTGGCCAGTAACTCAGCCTTCTCTTCACTCAGTACCTGCAGAGGCGGATGGGAACAGTGAGGGTTCTGTCCCATTAAACTGGCCCTCCATCTGTCCAACCAACTGGCGTCTCCCATCCCTCCAGCTGCAGCCTCCTGTGTCCATGCCCCTGTCCAGCCCCCTCCCCACAGTTCCCTCTGTCCATCCCCCTGGACAGATTCCTACCGTGTTGCTGACCTGCCGTTCCCTCTGGGAGTCTCCCAGCTCCTCCTGCAGCAGAGTGAGCCGCTCCAGCTGCAGGTCCTGCGCGCGCAGGGTGTCCTGTGCCCTCTCCAGCTGACCGCGCAGCAGCTGCACCTCCAGCTGGCTGGCCTGTCCGCTCTGCTCCAGCTCTCTGCCACGCGCCTGAGAATGCTGCTGCACATACAGACAGGACGCCACCATTACCCACGATGCCAGCTGCATGTTTTCTGTGTCCTTGTGAAGGTTCCATCTGAAAATGAGTTAGGGTGGTATTTGCACATACTGAGGTTTGTATCAGTATGGGTCAAAGCTGTCAACAGAGTAAATCTTGCAATGCTCAATTCTCACTTACCTGCATGAGCTGGAACTGCTCAGCCAGGGCCTTCCTCTGGGCCTCCAGGGAGGCCACCTGCTTCTGGTACTGAACCCGCTGCTGTTCCCACTCCACAGAGCGCTGTCGGAACTCCTGATAAACAAGCCGCGCATTACCACAGAGAGACCAGAAGAGGGGGAAACTTACTACTGTGATTAGGGCTGCCACACAGCACCAGTGCAAGGCACAAGACACTCCCCCTGAACCACTCACCCAGGGTCATCTTCATCAACAGATTAGTGTAAAATCTCAGACTGATTCTGGATCTGCACTTCGAGTGGTTACCTCGATCTTGCTGGTGAGCCTGGTCAGTTCTGTCCTGTCCTCCTCTCGGCTCTTTGCTCCCTCTCTGGCCTCCTTCAGCTGCTTTCGCTGGAGCTTCTCATAGCTGCGTTTCAGCCTGGACAACTGCAACAAGCATCAGACACGGACACAGTCAGCAGCCTTAACACACATCACAGCATCAACACTGACAGAGTCTTCTCAGCACGTTCCATCTCCTTCAAAGATGACATCATTGGCAGGGTCCTCTCAGCAAGTGACATCTCTTTCAGAGAGGAGAATGCTGGCAGAGTCCTCTCAACAAATGCCATCTTCTTCCGAGTGGAAAACACTGCCAGAGTATAAGCATGTGCCATCTCTTTCAGCAAGGAGAATGCGCTGACCACTGAGGGTTGCCTACCTCTTCTCGTACGTGCTGTAGCTGCTCCTCATACTTGGTCATCATCTCCTGCCTCTCAGTCTGCATCTCTTCCAGCTGTTGGTGGAGCACACTGACCTGGGATCAGATGGACGGACAAGATGAAGTGCAAGCTGTACGAAATAACTATACAAATGTAACGAAAGGGAAGTGAATATTCAGAAAGGCTGCCACCAAACCATGCAGGCATATAATACGCTTTCAGTAGGTACATGAAAACTGCTCAGTTACTGATGTATGCCACTTTACACCTGAGGTTACATTACATTACATTATTTGCATTTAGCATGATCATACATGATATAGGTTAGTATGATCATAAATACTTATTTGCACAACATACTGTTCATGGTATATCTTCTCAAAACAGTTATGACTTCACATTGTTATACTGGTCTTTCAGAAACACTGATATCAAATATGACCAGCATACCTAAACTGGGGAAACAGTTCTACTGACCTACCAACACAAGTGGGTTCATTACTGAGCTCATACTGAGTTAAGTGCTAAACTCTACACTAGTTTAGCACTTAACTCAGTATCTTACTGACCTCTTGTAGTACTTCTCGATAACTACTCTTAGCATTGTAATACACTTATTTGGAAGTCGCTCTGGATAAGAGCGTCTGTTAAATGACATAATGTAATGTAATGTAAGCCATGTGACAATGCATTCCTTAAATACAGCAGTGCTGGATCAGCTCCCACATCCCCCTGCCCCACAAAAGCCAGTGCCCTGGAATTCTAACAAGTTAACAACAGTCTCCCTGACTCTTAACATCTACTAGGTGCATAGGCATGCTGTCAGAGAGCAATAAAATGATGTACATTGTATAAACTATATCTGTTTAGTTGCCAGTGGAATCTCCTTTAGTGTGTAAGGAGGGAGTGTGTGATGTTAGCTCGTGTTACCTCTGTATGCTTGGTCTGTAACTGATCCTTGGCTGACTGCAGCTCCTCTTCGCTTTTCTGTAACTTTCCCTCCAGGACCCCCATCTCTGCCTCCCACTCGGTCCGTTTGTGGGCTACCATGATGTCAATCTGGCGCATGAGCTCCAGGAGCTCCGGCTCACAGGACGTCAGGACGGAGCTAGCAATGGAAAGGTAACCGAAAAACTTTCCACCAACAATGTGCTGCACAGTAACATCACAGGACGACGCGTTCACTGTAAAACACATTGTGGCTTACCACGTTGATCATATTTTGCTAGCTACCGTTACCTACCCTATTTACAGGCCTCCTAACGTTACACGAGATATCTACCTGCTACCAGCACTGAACACTAATTTAACAGAGGTATTTTAATAGGTTTTCACCCACCTCACGTCATGATCTTGCAGAGTCCCCAAAAAGGCCTCCATTTCCAACTGCTGACACCACCTGTTTTAATAGAAGATTGTTTAATTACCGTGGTTGCTATAAAACCATAATCATAAGTAAATATGACGTCATGAAGTAATCTGCGAGACTATCTACTTAGAAATCAGCCGTATAATTCTGCATGAATGCTCGGTGTCGCAAATTAGCCAGTTGGCTGAGGATACTGTTCGCCAACGTTAAGCATGAACTTCTTGCATTAATTCATAACAAGTAAACGGTGTTTAAAAATAGCAACTTACTGATTTTAAACGACGAAGAAGTAAAAGGTTTTGGGGAAACCGATGCTCATTTAACTGAACAAGCCGCCTCCTGCAAACTTCCACAATCCTTTTCAAGTTAGCTAACTCTAGCTAGCATAGCTAATGTTAACGCAATTTAAATTAGTAACACATTCGTAGTCATTACGAATTAGTTACTCTTTAGTTACTGTCGTGGTTTAAATGTCATATCATTTGAGGAACTCAAAGTTCCGAGACATCTATCGCTGAAATGTTTTCAGTTACAGCAGTCACACAAGCGGAATCAACTTACTTCGAACCAGCGCATTTAAATGTTTACAGTTAATGCGCAGAATCATCCTTAGTGAAAAGCATTTTGGGAAATATAGTTTTGACCAAGCGCTGCTAGAACGATTTGGTGCCTTCCCGATAGTCAAAAATGTCGTGGGTCATTGGTCTAGGGGTACGATTTTCGCTTAGAATGCTGGAAGTCCCGGGTCCAAATCGCGGATAAACCCGTGTTTTCGGGGAATACGTCGTCGTAATTCTGCTTCTTAACGTTAGCCTGCTCCGTGGGGAGAATCGGACTCTGAATGTGACGTAGCTACAGATACAAGTAAAGATTGCTTGGAAACGGCATATTATGGGAAACCGTATAAACATGTAATCACACGAGCTAATACAAAATATAGATATCTCTAATTCGGGTATGACTAATCGTAAATTCAGTTTAAGACTTCTCTAATTGTATTATGACTACTCGTATTGGAGGAACTTTTGTCATCGAGTTCTGTGGAACCTCCAATTTAAGATATGTGCAAGTAATTATGTGTACAATTAATTTGTAAAATGTAAATTTGACCAGCTATAATTCAAATTCAAGATATATCGAATTCAAATATGACTAGTCATAATATTAATTCTATAGGCCTATGTCTCCAATTTAATTATGACTAGCCGTAATATCAGTTCAAGATATCTGGTTATTTTTAATTAATGATATCTAAAATTCAATTATTGTTGATGTCTACTGCTGAATTGAAGATGCCTGGGAATCAGTTTTGATCAAAATGCCATTTCGACAAGTCAAAATTGTTTTACAGATATCTTAAATCATCATTCTGACTTGTCATATTTTAGGTTTGACGAGTCAAAAAGTGACCTGTCAAAATGTAATTATGATTAGTACGCTCGAGTGATTAAATGTTAGCAAACTGGCCGTGACGAAAGGTGGAAATAGTACAAACACTAACTCATCAGCAGTTATGCTGAATGTAGTTACTGGGTAATATGTCACAATGTGGGGGTGGGTGGTTTTAAGTGCCTACAACTCAGTCATTTATGTGGCTCGTTGGTCTAGGGGTATGATTCTCGCTTCGGGTGCGAGAGGTCCCGGGTTCAAATCCCGGACGAGCCCTGAGAGTTTTAATAATGATGATAATACAGCGCACAGCACACCTCTTACGAAAGTTGAAGTACCTGAAGCACCCGACCGAGTGTCACGCCTATCCTGAAGCATGCCTCAGATAAATAACGGTAAGTCTCAGGGGTGTTTTCCATTACTCTGGACTTAGGATCCGGCCCTTCCAGATAACTGCCTTTAACGACAATCATACTCAGTCATTACCTACTATAGTCCAGTTTTTTTTCCCAGTGATAGGGGGTGAGGGCTCATGACCCCCACAATGGGTGAAATTATATTGCTCTGTCAACCACTAATAGTTTATTTTCCAGAGCAAAACACCTTAGTGTTAGTAAGGTCACTGGTTTGGCGGCTCCCGAAACCTTCCTGCAAAGTATGCTTGACTAAACCAATGTACAAGAATGAGAATGACTTATTGGACAAGATTTTCAGATGGCTCGTTGGTCTAGGGGTATGATTCTCGCTTTGGGTGCGAGAGGTCCCGGGTTCAAATCCCGGACGAGCCCAGGGTTTTTTTTATAGGTAATTTCCATATTTACCTCAAGCCAGATATTTTCAGATACGACAGAAGTTGTGACGTTCAAAAGAGAGACATATGCGTCTTTGTTTACATGAAAATGTGAAGGTGCCACTAGGAAAATAGTAAAAATCAAGTGCTGTCAGCAGGGGGCACTGTATAACACTCCTACCATTTTTGTTATTGAAGAATACCTTCAAACATTTGAAAAAGAGTTTGAAGTGTCATCCTGTGCAAGAGGGTTTCACAGTCTTTGCCTTCCAGTGTATATGTAGAGGATTTCATCTGTCAGTGAATAAAAAGTGATCAACTGGGCACAAACAAAAGATGGCAGCTTTGCTTAAGAGCTAGTGCAGTAAGCATGCTGAGATTACTTGTAGTCTTTCTCACAGTATCTCAAGACTTGTGCTGTGTGACAGAGCATGTGACATCTTTTTTTACCCTGAATACTACTGGGTAGCTGAAGATTTCATGATATACAATAACAATTTGAAAGGTGTGGAATGATACGTTCATGAGTTTGCACATGTCTACAGATAATTCTGTTCTAAGTGTTAGAGGTCCATTGCCCACCCATCTCTTATTTTATAGATTAATTCACCTTGAGTTTTTGGGGAATTTTTTAAAAATTTGGCTTTCACATTGTACCTTTCAAACATCACCCTCAGTCTGAACTCTACCATCATCACCAATTGACAAGTTTATGATTTTATAAAATCTGTGTGTGTATATGAGGTGCGGGTGGGGGGATACCTAAGCTCAGGTATTGCTGTAATGATTTGGGGGGGTGTCTTAAAAATCTATGAATTTCTTAACTGATACAGTGAATTGATGGATTAGAAATTCCACAATTCTAAAAACCTGATTTAGATTTAAAAAATGGGCAACTAGGACTTTTTTTCTTTAAGTTTTGGATGATCCCTTACATACAATATGCTGGAAATATAACACTGTCACACGCTGCCTTGCATTTTTACATTTTCATGGGCAGACTAGCCAGCTGCAATGCCCGACAATTACTAACTCATATCTGCTTTTGTGCATATTCCATTCATTGTTGCTGGCTGACATTTTTATGACCATATGAGCCTTCACAAAAACGAAACCCTCAGCAATACTTGATTAAGAAGCTGTAATTCATTAGGAGGCCTACAGAAATGGTATCCATATCTTAGTGTAACATCACAGGATAAATATCTTAGTATCTTAGTGATGCAGCGTTTAACCATCTGATCTGCTTTTCAGGGAACATTTCAAGACAAGGATAAATCATACTGAATTAAACTCTGTGATGTTTTTGTGATAATTCACTGCATTAGTTAATATGTCACATACCTGCTCCATCTGCTTGACTGCTCTTGGCAAATCCCACCTAAACTGTTCCCTATTACCTCTGTGCCTCTCTGTCCCACAGCTGAAAGTTTCCTGGGGTTGTGTGGATGTGTATCATGTCATCCTGTGTCTTTTGTCTCATTATTGTCAGTCACTAGAGTGTGGGCAAACAGTCTACATCAGCTGCTTTGGATCAACTTGATGTGAAACACCTATCCCTATTCAGAGAGAAAATATTCATGTTGCTATCAGATACAAGCTGTCTTCTTTACCAAACACTGTTGCCTATGAAAGAAGTCTTGATGTTTACCTTTGATCTCACTTGTGAGGTAGCCAGACTTTTTTTCTCACGAAACATTGACAAAAGAGACTTGCTCTATAATTAATAAGTTACATTTCATGTCTTGACTTGAGGTTACTTAACATGAATGGTAAAAAACATGGTTACAATGGAGCATTTTCCCAAAAACCATTAAGTGAAAACATCCAAAAATACCCAAAAATATTCTGTGTGTTTATCATTCCCAAGTGACATTCATGATTGATTTGAACAATTTCAAAAGTTAAGAAGTGAGGGACAAAGGTCACATGATTTAAAGGAAAATAACTCATTTCTCATGGTAATTTTATCATTTATCATGCTAATTCCATCAGGGTTAAGACATGACATATGGCCCCCTGGTCAGATAAGTGCTGCAAGGCACATCTAACACCACATACCTTATATATGTTAACTAATTAAGTACCGGAAATCCAATCTACTTGCCTACATTTTGTAAACATTTTCCTTCTGGAATGGTGAAGGGAATGCCAATACCGAGGACATACGCTTTCATTAAAGTGTGTTTTACTTTCATATGCCCTTTTTGAAAGCATTACGCCTAACGCCATTCGGAATATTTCCGGTCTTGTGCCAATGCCAGTGTTTTGGAGAATGTTGCAAGACTTGCATTTAAGCGCTGATTGATATTCTCTCCTGTTTCAAAATGAACACTTTAATTTACCTCTTGTGAAACACCAAAACTTCTCTGCAGAAACTGGCTTGAAACGACTATAGGATGAATAAGCAAGACAGCCTAAACTAAACGTCGCAAGTATTTTGACGCGTAATACATCGTGAAACCAAACCGTCAAAGGATGACCCTAAACAAAAGAAAAACCACTGCTTATGGAATCTTGAGATTTTGATCACTTGTGTGCCTAAAGACCCGAACGTAAAACGATGAGGACAACCCCCGACGTCGTAATTAATGCAGGCGTGTGTGACGCGGATGGGCAGCCCTGCGTGAGCGTGGTTTGCCAGCTGCCCGTCAGACATGCAAATAAAGGGTATTTACATACAGACAGAGGCCAGCCCCTTCAGGCGTGAGAGCTCTTTAAACATCGTTAGTGGTTCGTCCGGTTTCACAGCTGCAGTACCGGCTTTCTTGGTTGCGACAGAACGAAAAGAAGCAGTTCGACAACTCCAAGTGCAGGCAAAAGTCGTGGCGGCCAAGACTTTCGTACATATGCGTAAACACACACACATTACAGATTTGGGAGCAGAACGACAGCTAACCAGTAGGGATTACTGTCCATATACGGTGAGTGTGCAAGTTTGTTTGAAAAGTCTTTTATGATTTCGTTTCCCTTGTAGGGTAGCTGTTCCTCTCTCTTGGGAGACTGCGGTTAATAATTGACTTGAGAACATAACGCATTATGTGTTCAAATGTATCCACTCTTCATTCGTCTTTCAATATTATGTGTTGTTAATTTGTTCAGAAGTTGGTAATTGTAAGACAATATTATATAATATGATTATAATATAATGTAAAAGATAGAAACAAAGTACAACAATATTTGTTTCTCAGTGCTTTTAATTCATGATCTTATGAGGGGTAGTCTGTATGTGCAGTGTATGTATTTCATCAAGGTTTGCTGGAATTTGAATTAAATCCAAATCTGTAATCATTTGTTTCATACATGCTGCTAAACGTGAAAAGAACAGACCTTTTAGACAGCAGGTACAATTCATTTTATGTAAATATGCTTTTATTGTATTTCAAAAGACATTGTATACAATTCTTACTTTCCTGTCAAACAAATTTGTTTATTGCAGTACATATTCTAGGCAGAGATGGTTCAGAATACTTGCAAATGTATTTTCTGCCTCCTTCAATAGATTTTAAATATCTGTGTTTTAGAGCATGAATAGTTTGGTAGGATGAATGCCTTTGGGTTCTGGGTGAGTTTTTTTTAAACTGCTT